TTCTTCCCCTCCTGCTATCTTTTTTTTCCTTAACATATATTGCATTATTTGTTTCAGAAGTACAGGTCTGTGATTCAACAGTCTTGCACAATTCACAGCGCTCACCCTAGCACATACCCTCCCCAATGTCTATCGCCCAGCCACTCCATCCCTCCCACCCCCCACCACTCCAGCAACCCTCGGTTTGTTTCCTGAGATTAAGAATTCCTCATATCAGTGAGGTCATATGATACGTGTCTTTCTCTGATTGACTTATTTCGTTCAGTATAACACCCTCCAGTTATAGCAGCAATGTCCACAGTAGCCAAACTGTGGAAAGAGCCAAGATGTCCATTGGCAGATGAATGGATAAAGAAGATGTGGGGTGTGTGTGTGTGTGTGTGTGTGTGTGTGTGTGTGTGTGTGTGTGTAATGGAATATTATGCAGCCATCAAAAGGAATGAGATCTTGCCATTTGCAACGACGTAGCAGGTAGGTTTAATTGAACTTCAAATGCTTTAAATCTAGGGTGCCTGGGTGGCTCAGTTGGTTAAGTGACTGCCTTTGACTCAGGTCATGATCCCAGAGTCCCAGGATCGAGTCCCACATCAGGCTTCCTGATCAGTGGGGAGTCTGCTTCTCCCTCTGACCCTACCCCCTCTCGTGCTCTCTCTCTCACTCTCTCTCTCAAATAAATGAATACAATCTTTTAAAAAAATTCTTTAAATCTTGAGTGGTGGCTACACAGACATTCTTTACAATTTCTCCATGCCACTTGTACATGTAATATAATTCATGATTAAAAATATACTGCAGCACAAAATGGCCAAAATAAAAACATTTTAATAAAGAATAAGAAATTCAGGAATAAGGCAAATAAAACTAATTTTTAATAAAGCAAAGATATTTGGGAATTTGGAGGTACTATCCTAACCTGCTGTGACTGGAATTAAGAATTTGGAAAAATATTTTCAAATATATTAAGCAAGTATCAAAAATTATACAATGTAACATAACAGCAAATAATTGAGAAAGCCTATAACTCAAACATTGCATCACTTTACATATTTCTCCCTTCCACAGGTTTCCTAACTGTTGTATAAGTAACCTACAGACTTTTAAAATTATGAATGGCCTTTCACTTTGATTTTATTACAAACACTATTTTCAAGCAACTTGAAAATTAAGATGAAATTTCTTTGCATTTTTATCAGCTTTAAAAGTGGTATACTATACTTTCATTTACTCATTTATCCATGAAGCACAATTTAAATATTTTCTTCATGATGAACAGAAACAAAAAAGTATTACTAAGCATGCAAACATAATCAAGAGAGGAGCCATATAGTGAACAATTAGGAATTTTTCAGTGTCAACTTGTTACCCTCCATTTGCCTGCAGCAAAAGACAGTCAAAACTCCCCTGAAGTCACGAGCATCTTACTAATACAAGAGTCTTGATCCTAATTCCTTCTTCAGTTAATATATCACATTCCTTCAAAGCTGCCAAGTTAAAGCAGTGTTCTCTTATAACTGGTAATTTTGAGATCTCTGATACATTAAATATCTCCTGCTTCTTTTCCCACTGTCCTTGGTTTCTTTACCAGAAACCTGTATCTCAACTATATGAATTTAAAAATACATTTTTTACCTTTCCAATCTAATGTGGCATTAGGCTAAGAATACCCAAAATTCCTTCCTGTAACTTCCCCAAAACACTTATGAACTGCCCCCACTTCTGCTAACTGCAAAAGCAAACCAAACCAAAGAATCTCATTGTCCACCAAGACAACTAAGCAATCTCATGTCCAAGCATCAGAACAAGTAAAATTTGTGAGGCTGATGAAGAAAGACTGTGGGGAAACCTTAGGAACTAAATGGAACATCCTGGCTTTTCTTTATGAAAGATGGAATTCCCAATGAAGGTCAAAAGATACTTTGTCTCCCATTCATGACATATATCCTGATAGGGTGCATCCCAAGTAGCAAAGTCAAAGGCAGTACCAAACAAACAAACAACGGACAACTTTTTTCAAAGTTTTTAGTGGGTGTGCAAAGACTGAAAGGTCCGGTCACTCTTATGCAGGCCCATTTCTCAGGGATGTGTCTGAAGAGAGCAAGCTGGAGGGATAAGGTAATGTCTTCCTCTAAGCTGAAGAGCAGCTTGCTTACTGCTTGCTATAAAAGAAGTGGGGTCTCTAAGCCCAGTGTTCCTCAGCGGTGGGTGTGGCATCTATTCCAGCCATATCTAATCACCTCTGTGGGACTTGAGGGCAAGGGGAACTGAAGCATGCGCCTTGCTGGGCCAAGAGTAATAACGCTCTTTGTCACTGACCCAGGAATATCGTGTCTTCTGCTAGCATCTGTGAAATTGCAGCAGGCCAGCTTATTAGCTTGTAAGTAGGGTAAAAAAATCCCAGACTTAACAACTTTATCCCATTTTGCCTATAAAGTACTGGCTAGGAAGTAGGGGAAGACTGGAAGAGGCATGATGTAATTTTAAGAAGTATTTCCAAACAAGCCATTCTCTCTGAAGGATAGTTAATTATACTTTTTCAGATATTACAAGGTATCAAGAATCTGTAATAGAAAAATACCACTGTATAAAAGAAATAACGTGTTTGGTGAGAGACTCCTAAAATAGGGAATTAGCGTGGGAATTGTACATTCTCCTTCGGATCTGAGAAGAGAATCTGAGCTCTTCATGTAGAGAAGCAAGCAGGGCCAAGGGAATTCCTTGACACCACCTGTTGATAAAGGCGGGCTTTGGATAAAATTTGCTTTAGAGTGCATTGAAAATATTAAGCATAAAAATGAAAACACCAAATGGAAGTAGGAAAAAGACGCCCTGTAGATCCAAAAGAGCATTTCAGAAAACTGACTGTATCTTCAAAAGAAAACAAACAAATAGATGTGGCCTCAGTAAATCAGGAACAGAAATTCATAGGAAGGAACAGCATGAGATAAAGAGTATTTCAAGAAATAGGACAAAAAAATCCAAGATACAGAGTACCAGTGCTTTTTTAAAATATAAGCAAATCACACATAAAACTAAAAGATATAAAAGAAGGAAAATTTCCAGAACTGTGTACAAAATATGCAAGTATGATAAACTAATTTTTCATGTTCTAAGCAAAGTAAATTAAAAGAGAGTTAAATCTAGCTGTTTGCTGGAAATATGCATGTTTTTAACTAAAGGGATGAAGCAAAAATGATCTCATACACAAGCAACATGAGACAAAAAAAAAAGGAGTTGGTGGTGAGCTCCCAAGAAATAGAAGTGATTCTGATCCCAGACTTCTGTTCAGCAACACTAATTCCAGAAGACAAAAGAACACCACATTGGAATTCTTTGGCAGTTTGGGATCCAAACTTCGCACCAACCAAAAGGTGTCTTCATACTTAAGTCAATATAATGACATTCTTTAAAATGCAAGAGGATGAAACATAGTTATATTTTTAAATGTAACTTATTAACTGTTACATATTTAAAAATTGAGAAATTAAAGAAATTAGAATGCAAGAATGGGAAGAGGTCTTGTGGCTGGCATTGCAACTAGGTAAATCTACTAGATAGATTCTGGTAAAATTCTGCTTAAAAACAATATGCATATATAAAATTATTCATGAGAAAAATATTATATGTATACCTATTCTCTACATACACACATGCATATATACATAATACCTAATACACAGGTATGCCCTGTGTGTGTGTATATATATGATACATATTTCATATATATATATATATGAAAATGGCATATGTACGGAAATGGCATAATAAGAATTTAAATCAATGACCACAGATATCACCAACAGCAAGGTATACAGTAAGGGGAAAAAGGGAACTGAACTTATTTAAAATGAAAAATAATTTAGATTTAAAATTATGGCTACTAGAGAAGTATATACAAAACACTTTGGTAAACTTATAGGCAAACTTAAATTTGCAATATAAATCTAACATCTAGCTTTCCAAATACCCAAGGAAGATACAGCTTTAAATCAGAGAACCAGAAACACTGTTCACAAGGGAAAACAAAGAGAAAACAATGGAAAGAGCAAGTAAGTATGAAAAACAGAGCACACAGAATATTGTATCAAAAGCAAAACCAACCATCATCATTATAAAACAGAAAGCTACAGAATAAGCCATGCATTAAATGACACATCATCAATTTATTAATGGCTTGTGGCTGTGGAGAGAGAATACTACCACATTATAAGAATACATGTATTCCAATTTCAGAATTACTGAAGTATAAAGAACTAAGAAACCTCAGAACGAAGATAATCCTGATAATGCATTACAGAATACAAAATATACAGCTAACACAAAGGAAGAGACTATAGTAAGAAGAAACAAAAAGTACAAAGTAGTCAAAAGATATATCAGGAAGATAAAAACTAAATGAGGTCTCTGGTCCCTATTCTAAATTCCCTGGAGAAAGAATGATTTTCTCAGGTTGGGCCATGAGTTCACCCAGGTCCAATTAACACTGGTACAAAGTGGGCTTCCAGAGCCAGGCCTGAGTGAGGGTTACCCCGAAGGTTATTGTGAGCTGGACCAAACTGCAAGAGAGGTCGACAAAATATCACATTCTTTTCTTTTTCATTGTCTCTGTTCCTTAAATATTTTCAGATTTGTCAGATATAATTCTCTAATTTCAATGCTCTCTGAGAGCAAGGACCATGTCTGACAATTCTTTCATTTTCTTTTCTGTTCAAATACAATATAAAACACAGGGTAGCTACTCAACAAACATATTCTTAACTGGATTCTTTTTCCTGTCCTAAATAGAATCCTTACAAAAATAGGAAAATGGAAAACGTACCCACACACATTTTAAGCTCTGATTTGTACAGTACCTAGAGATCCAAAAGATCATAGTGAATTGTTCCTTCAACCTATTTATTCAATTAATAAAATCCACATATTGTTTCTGAAATCCAAAATGACCACACACACTCAGTTATTTTAAACGTTGAACTTGCTGGATGTTATGACCATAAACTTACAGGCAAACTGGAGTTTAGCTTCTCTGCTGACTATTGTTCCAAGTGAATTTGTTGCAAAACACTGGTAACTTCCTGTATCCCAATTTCTGTTGGGGTTAATAACCACAAGATTTCCTCCATTCAACTTATAACGATATTCCATATTCAGATTAATATCACTTCCATTCAGCTGCCATCTGTAAAACAAATGTCAAGGTTTTTCCCCTCTTAGTATATTTAAATAAAAAAAACCTACATTATAAAATCCACTTTAAACATCACCTCTCTTATAAATGAAAGGCAATAAATATATTATTCCACTGTGACGTATGTGAAGCTCAAACAGGGCCTGTTTATCAGAAACAAAAGGTTCAAGCATAGTAGAAAGCACAACAGAATAGCATCTAAAAGTTAAAGATTTTTCATGATTTTCTGAAGAGGTGAGAATAATCCGTTCACTAGGGGAAAAATAAGGCTAGGTCTGTATAGGCAGAGATGAAGTAGAAAGTGGAGGTAATTACCTCAGGTACTTCAGGCTGATCTCATGCTGCCGATGAAGGGGAGGAAAGAGCACACTTCTTTGATTTATTCACACTGACTGAGCACATTTAATAAATTAATTGGATAAGTGCTCAACTATCCATTTCAATTTGTCTGGGTAAATACCCATCCCTGAGGCACTCTCCTCAGCCATCACAATGCTATTTACTAAATGGTACACTGTGGTAAAAAACCCTAAATGCCACCTAGGGGGTCTCACACAGTAAAGGCACTAACCCCAGAGCCATATTTATCAATGGGAAGCCGGAAGAAAAAAGGAAAAAGAAAAGATGCTGGGTTTTAAACAAGAGTTTTTAAACAGAAAAACCAGGGTTCTTTTTTTAAAGATTTATTTATTTGAGAGAGAGAAGGAGAAAGAGCAGGCGGAGGGGCACAGGGAGAGAGAGAATCTCAAGCAGACTCCCTGCTGAGTGTGGAACCCGACAAGGGGCTCAATCTCATGACCCTGAGACCATGACCTGAACCGAAGCTGGAGGCTTAACTGACTGAGCCACTAAGGTGCCCCCAGAAAAACCAGTTTTTAAACAGTGAGGATACCTGACACATCAAAGTCACCTTTAAAAACTCAGAAATATCCCATAGTCTCAAGAACACATCCATTGTATAAATTAGAGCCATCTACCTCCTAGAAGACTTGATTTTTATAATAAAAAGAAACCGCTATCAGTTCTATAAAATTTTTGTGTATTAATAACAATCATCCCAGTTGCTCTTTCTAACTTTGAGAAGGTGGGTAATCTAATACTCATTTTATAGATGAAGATTTTGATAAAAAAGTTGAGTGAGATGTCAACTGTCCCCAAGTAATGCATTGTTGGATCAGAAGTAGTCCTCATCTGAACTCTAGCCCACAGTCCTTTTATCATGTCATATGCCATCTAAAAATTGTTGCATTCATATATAAAATATTTAACCTGACCATATTACATGCTCTAAAAGCAAATAAAGACATGAAATGTTAACATTATCACAAATGAAAGTATGTGAAGTTGAAATATTAGACAGCTGTGAAAATGTATGAACTTACTATGGAAAAGTCTCAAAGAATAATGAAGCATTTTATAAAATAAAAATTGATACCATTTATATAAAGTTTTAAAACATATGAAAATGATAAACCTCCACTTTAAGGTATTTTAAAGCCCTCATGGAAAGAAAGTGGGGTATGTTCAGGGGGAAAATACTAGGAATTTGGGGTTTTTTGTTTTATTTCTTGAGGAGTGGTTATATGGATGTTCATCATTGGACTAGATTATATGTTTATATCATTTTCTATAGGTGAATAATACACAATAAAGTTTTAATGATAGAAGCCATAGGAAATGAACAAATGTATAAGATTAGCCCCACGTTTCAGTGAGTTCTCAGGCAGGTACACATGCAAAGAAACAACATGGGGAAGACATAGTCCTACACATTGTGGGCTTGACTTTCAGAAAATAAATAGGACAGTAAATCACAAATGGGTGGGTTGAATTTTTAAGATGTAAAAGGTCTGTCAGTTTCTGAGCACCTTCATGCTTGCAGTGGGTAAAAGTTCTCTAAACTCAAACCAGAAAAGATGTAGATAATCTCACATACTTTTTAATGGGAGACTGTCATGACAAAGGGTACTTGGTGTTTTTGTTACCTATAAAATACAGTTTGCATGGGAAAAAAGGATTTTAGCTCTAGAGTTGAAATGTTTATGGCCTGACTAAGCATGCCTGATGGCTTAATTTGAAAATTGTGCTTTTGTGTTTAGCTGATGAATAATAAAGGTACAGTGGCTATGTGGAAAATTATAAAGATAAATAAAAATATGGAGAAGCACTTCTTCTTGTCTATTTAATAGCTGGAAAGATTTAAGAGATCATAATGTATGTGGGAGGATACTTTATTTCAGTAAGTGTCTAAGATCTAAAAGCGATCATCCCAAAGCTTTGACTAAACAAGTAAAATGGAAAAGATTTTTTTATGCATAAATGTTTATTATTTCCTTTAGCTCAATCTTCATAATATAGACTGAATCCCTAGAATATTTCACTATGTGCAAAGGCAAAATCTACTCTTTTAAATGTTACTGCTATACCAAAAGTAAGAGTGTTTTTGCTTTAGCAAACTCTTCAGAGCTAAGATTTACATGACATACCCGAAAGAATGTTAATTTTCTTTTAACAAGGTGATATAATTATTACTCTCCTTAACACTATTCATCATTAACTGGACCTCATCCTCAGGTGATATAAAATTTCTCAATATCTTTTTTTTTTTCAAATTTTTTTATTGTTATGTTAATCACCATATATTACATCATTAGTTTTTGGTGCAGTGTTCCATGATTCATTGTTTGTTCATAACACCCAGTGCTCCATGCAGAACGTGCCCTCCTCAATACCCATCACCAGGCTAACCCATCCCCCCACCCCCCTACCCTCTAGAACCCTCAGTTTGTTTTTCAGAGTCCATCATCTCTCATGGTTCGTCTCCCCCTCTGACATACTCCCCTTTTCTTCCTCTCCTGTTATCTTCTTCTTTTCCTTTTTTCTTAAAATATGTTGCGTTATTTGTTTCAGAAGTACAGATCTGTGATTCAACAGTCTTGCACAATTCACAGCGCTCACCGTAGCACATACCCTCCCCAATGTCTATCACCCAGCCATCCCATCCCTCCCACCCCCAACCACTCCAGTAACACTCAGTTTGTTTCCTGAGATTAAGAATTCCTCATATCAGTGAGGTCATGTGATACATGTCTTTCTCTGATTGACTTATTTCACTCAGCATAACACCCTCCAGTTCCATCCACGTCGTTGCAAATGGCAAGATCTCATTCCTTTTGATGGCTGCATAATATTCCATTGTGTATATATACCACATCTTCTTTATCCATTCATCTGTCGATGGGCATCTTGGCTCTTTCCACAGTTTGGCTATTGTGGACATTGCTGCTATAAACATTGGGGTACACGTACCCCTTCGGGTCCCTATATTTGTATCTTTGTGGTAAATACCCAGTAGTGCAATTGCTGGATCGAACGGTAGCTCTAATTTCAACTGTTTGAGGAACCTCCATACTGTTTTCCAGAGGGGTTGCACCAGCTTGCATTCCCACCAACAGTGTAGGAGGGTTCCCCTTTCTCCACATCCCCGCCAATTTCTCAATATCTTATTAAACATTAATTGTTTTTCCTCTTGTTGAAAGTATGTGAATTAAAAAGGGCTATACTTATTTAAATTCTGAAATATGTAAGGAATCTCTGGTCTGAAATTCCAAAAATTATCATATCCTGAGAAAATAGTGTACTTATGTTCCCAATGCAAAATATTCATATTTGGGCCTGATTTCTAAATATTTCTGAGATTTTCTTCTGTACAAGAAACATTCAGGAAAACTGAAGGCAGACACACATACTCCTTTTACAAAGTATGTGTCCAATAAATCGACAAATTAATTTTCTTTACAGTAAATTGTAATCAACTGTTCAGAGTTCATGAACATAACATGTAGTAATAAAGTGTAACAGGTGAATGGCACATTTAGGCCATGAATTTGGGAAGCTTTTAGAGATAGAAACTTTCAGCTTTGTACATTGACAATTTGTAAAAAATTGCAAATGTCCATTTTTATGAATAAAATGTGAAGTTCATGAGAAACCATCTAAAGTTTCGGAATGAAATCTTTTTGAAATGACAAAATTGTTTAAAAATTCATAAAAGTAACATTTGCATGCCCAAATTCCATTCCAAAAGGCTTAATGCAGTGATCTGGAGCAAAAGAAGACAGTCTCATGGCTCTTGGGGCTGCATAACACCAGCATTTCAACCCTACAACATTTACATTGTGCTCTAGAAACAGACTAACCTTGTAGCTTTAGCTCAGTGGTAAATGTCACAAGATTAAGCACCTTTGTATAATCATCATCATGTTGTAACACTCTTGAATGATCTTATAAGTTCACTGCCAGCCTTCAGTGTTCAAACGCTCATTCTATACAAGTTAGGATTTGCCTTTAGAATCCACAAGTGAGAAATGGCTTAATATTCATATTTTACAAATCTACTCATTCTCAGGCAATGAGCTCACATCCCCTTGCATTTCTTGGTGTGGAGGTTCTATGTGAATTTGCTTCTGGGACAATACATAAAAGTTGGGAGCTGGAATGAGAAGTCCTGGGCTTCACACTCTACTAGCCTACCTGAGACAACATGAATTTGATCAATCCACTTCTAAAATCTCATCTCCATCCTCTACACAACAGGATGCTGGTATCTCCTCGCTGGAGGGAGGCTGGGCAGGTAGAGTAAGGAGACTGGGCCAAGCCTATTCAACGGAATGGTGGAAGTCTATGGCCAATTTCCCTCTAAATTTTTTTTTTTTTGATAGAATTTCTTTAAAACATCATGCATGCCCTTGAGGCACCAGGTTTTGAATTTTGAATACAACAGCATAAGGTACCTGACATAGGAACTATTACAACTGGCAACTACTACTTTTTCTTGATGAAAACTATACTTGTTACTCCTGGGAAATACACTAAAACATCAACGACTGAAGATATAAGAACCATTGCCTTCCAAAAGAAAGAACAAACTAGGTGTTAAGAGTGTGTCTGTGTGTCTGTGTGTGTGTGCAAACATGAATTTATATGATAAG